ATGAAGTCGAATACTCTTCTCAAGCATGACGTGAACAGAACTGCGCTGACCCGTGTGAAGCGCAATCAATTATAATTATTCTTTTGCCTTTGTCATTTCCCTATGATCTCTGTCTGCACTACTGTTCTAGTATGTTACATAGAGTGAATTTGACTGGCAATACAACTACATGTAGGTATCGCTAACACGGGTTTTCTTCACGTCTTGCAAATCTAAATCAATTCTCCACATAGGATAACTCCAACCCATCTTGCCAGCCTGGCAATAACTGACTGTACTGCTTGAAGGTTTCAACTTTCAAGATCTATCCTGGCTCTTATTTTTACAGAGTAAATACTGGATAGCTGCAGATACAGTGCAGCTTCGGTTTTCCAGCACAAGTCGCACTAGTGGCTTATCATCAACACATCACTCTGACTCGCGAGTAAACAACGCAACGATGCTATGTTGTTGTTCAGACTTCACTAGTCACCGATGGACACACGGAACGACACTGGTTTCTTGAGTTGATGATACTGAACAGGTCTACTTTCTCTGGTTCTGGGACAAGGATATGCTGCCCAGGAGACTACAGTGTACAAAACTGCTATCAAACACAATCGTGCTGTACCTCTTCTTCGCAGATGAACGGTAATAACTATGTCTTCACTAAATAATAACATTAACACAGCACGCATACGGACGCAGGTAGAGTGTAAACGCAAGGGGAACAGGATTGCCGTCAGTGGTCCCTTGTATAGACCAGGCCAGCCTGGGAAGTGGTGGGTCGCTACGAAGGTTGTTGCGGACAGAGGCGGCTTAACACCTTCACGCTGGCTTTTCATGGCAAACATGGTCACGTATGTGAGATTCGCAGAGGCGCACATGCTGGCCATGACAGGATTTGAGACTTTTTTCACTTTGACCATTGCCATGTACATAGTATGTTAAATCATGTGTTTTGATTTAACTAGCTGTAAGAAGTCTGAAACAGGAACTATTGACACGACAAGGCACCAACGGATAGAGGCTGTACGAATGACATCATCATGCACGCCTTGTATGGAGCGGCAAACTAAATAAAGTACTTTTGCTTGCGAGACAACACCCATACAGAAAACAAACAAAAATGATGTTGCAGTCACATGCCATTCACAGAGAGTTAGTTAATCTTATTGTACGACGTAGGGGTTGAATTCTTCTATAGAACTGCCAAGTAGTGATATTACTGTGTTTTGGGGACAACTGAAGTGGAGCTGCCACGTGTAGGGTTTGATCGGATAACGAGTTTGGGTATTTCTATCCAGTTAGCATGGGTATACAGTACGAATACATTGGTACACAGCATTGTATGTGCGGGATCACCACAATGTGTTTGTACAGTGAGTGTGCACTTCCGCTACATAGAGAAATGTACAGTAAGCAAGTAGCTGTACCTCTTACATGCATAGTTGCGAAAACACCGCACTCCAACTACGCGATCGAGTTCTCAGGCGCAAACTGCTACCCGCTCTCATTATGGGTAGCACGGGTACCCTACTACCCGATGACAACCCTAACATGAAGTTACATGTATCACTAAGCTTCCGATCGTTCGAAAGGAGCTCTAGCATGCATGAAGAACACACACCGTTTCTGACACTTGGAACGCATTACTAATTGTTTTACATTGAAATACTTGGAATTCTTGTGGGCCATTTGAATTTGTAAACGTTGGAATACAACTTTGTTATCGCACCAATATGCAACCCGTGCACAGCCATGGTTTACGAGTAGCAGACTGACCATACGCAGTACACACTCTCAAAACCAAAACACATACTCGTACATGTACTAACTCTCTGACCAATTTCCACGGACATATATTGCACCAATAAGCTATTGCGCAACTGTACATTCCCTTAAAAAATTCAAATCAACATAGTGTAGTAGTTTACGAAGTACACAACTACAAGCAAAGGATCGGCTCGTTAACATCATGATTGCCGCTAACGGTTTTCTTCAATCCCTGAACAAGCAATCTCCACTTTCCTCCCCTGGACTTTGCAGTTTTTGATCGCACCTTGGGCAAGGACGGAGCTTATCACCAAGCCTATGATGCAGGCAATCACCGCGTTTTCGCCCGTCTCAACTTTTACATCACGTTGCGCGCTGCAGAAAATCTTCTGCCACAAAATCGGATAGATAATTTGTACTAAGTACCATGTACATGTACTAGCCATGCACCAGATCCACTTTTCATAATATCATATCCCTTTTCTACTAAATCACAGCCATGGAATACACAATCATGTTACGATGATGTACATGTACTGGGGTTACTACAAGTAGTATTTTGAACACATCATAATAATAATTATTATCATGATACTAGTGTTGCATGCGTGCAGCGACTACATCACGGTCGATGTGAAAATGATGTTCCTAAAATAACAGAATGTACTGTTACAAGATTGCATTCTCAGGCTGTACCTTGCCGTGGATAGCTGCAGAAATAGAGCAGCTTCGTTTCCGGTGCAGTCAGTTATTCTCACCACATCACCCTGACTCGATAGCGCACACCGTCACCGCTGACTTTCACTCCTCGAGTGAATGTTACGTATCAACACCGACACGACCCAATAAGCTGTTATCTAGTATGGCACTCAACAGGATTCCGACTAGTGAAAGAGAGAAACTAATGCCTGTCCTCTGTGACCTTGGTCTGGTTCTGTTTGGTCAAGACTCAAGGATGAGCAAAAAAACTCTTCACTCCGAAGCTCACAAGCACAGTCCAGCTAGCTGTGCGCAGACTCGGTAAACCAACACGGCCCGCCGGCCGCTAGCGCTGGCGCTGGCTCGTACAGATCACAATGTGAGAAGTGAGATGAGATCTTTCGCCAGTTTCGGGCAGGCCAGGGAGTGCACCACTAGTAGTAGTAGTGGTGAAAAGTGAAAACACATTTACGACTCCCTGGCACTGGCAGTGTGGTAGATCTACTGTATACATGTACTGTCGTACTGACACTACTGAGTCTGTTTACACTTCGGAGCTTCGGCTTCGAATGTGACAGTGTGTTTGGCCTCAAATCGCTCTAGTTTTCCATAAATTTCCAGCGGTTTAAAGATAAAAATGCAAATGCACGCCTTGATTGCACCTAGCACCTCTTGCTTTCTTTGGCCTTTTCTTTCGCTTCTTTGCTGATAGGTTACCTTTTTCCTTTGTCTAGTATCCTTGAGACTTCAGTCTTCTACTGCCGCTATGGCAGTGTCTATTGTCTAATGATGACTCCGAAGCTGAAGCTCGCAGTCCAGGCCTAGGACTAGTAGTAAGAGTTCCTACCGGATCGTCGTGCTGTCCGTGTAGGTAAGTGCTGAAGTAACTAGTTTGTGCCGATATGGAAATTTCGGCCTTTTCGGCGGCCAATGCTGATGGCGACGCTGTGATGGTTCCGTGGGTTTGCAAGCACCGACGAGTGCCTTGTTTCATGCCCCGAGTCACGATTTCCCTGTTGGGTCAGGGCGGCCAGGCCGCCTTCACGAGTTCGGCAGGCTCTTTCGAGTGCCTTGCCAAGGCTCTGCGCTTAGCGCGTAGCAACATCAACAGACGGCTTCCGTCACGTCATTGGGCAGGCCCTGACGAGTGCCTTGCCAATCTCTGTACCTACAAGTAACTGGTATCCAACCCCATCGATGGACGACGCGGACATGGCGGATATGCGGCGGCTTCTGTCACGGCAGTGGGCAGGCCCTGTCGCGTGTCTTGCCACACCTAAACCATCCGTCCACTGTCGATGGACGACGGTCTCACCAGTGGGCAGGCCCTGTCGCGTGCCTTGCCACACTCTAGCCATCCATCCACTGTCGATGGACGATGGTCACACCACTGGGCAGGCCCTGTCGTGTGCCTTGCCGCACTCTAACCATACGTCAACTGTCCATGGGCGATAGTCTACAGTGAGCAGGCCCTGTCGCGTGCCTTGCCACACTCTAGCCACTCTAACCATCCATCCACTGCGGATGGACGATGGTCGAACCAGTGGGCAGGCCCTGTCGCGTGCCTTGCTACACTCTAACCATCCGTCCACTGTCGATGGACGATTGTCTCTACAGTGGGCAGGCCCTGTCGCGTGTCTTGCCGCACTCTAACCACTCTATCCATCCATCCACTATCTATGGACGATGGTCTCGTGGGTTTGCAAGCACCAGCGAGTGCTTTGTTTCTTGCCCTGAGTCGTGCCTTCCTGGTGTGGTCAGGGCAATTTCATGAAAAGCAGGAGTGCCTTTCCAATGTCTGTGCCTAACTCGCATCCACCCATGTCGGTGGACTGTGCGGTCATTGTAGATATGGTGGCTTCCGTCACGCCAGTGGGCAGGCCCTGTCGGGGGCCTTGCCACACTCTAACCATTAGTCCATTGGTGATGAACGATGGTCTCGTGGCTTTTCAAGCACCGGCGAGTGCTTTGTTTCATGCCCAGAGTCACGCCCATAACTTAATGCCGTTCTGCCAAGCTCATATTGTTGTTTCGCAAGTACAGTTCTACCTGTATTTGCTTGCTCCTATACCAAGCAGAATACCGTATTGACCGGGAAATGTTCCTGTACCAAAGGGCTGTGGATCGAACGTGCATCCCTGTGTCAAGCGGAATAATGTCATATCAGAACAGTTTCCGCTGCACCACGGGCGTCCGGTTAAGGCAGGTTTACCTGTATGTAGATACATGGTTCTGGAAGCATGATCACGATGTCAGAGGTGGCTGATGCACCTCTGTGAGCAATGAACAATAAACATCAAACGGTTGCCATTTGTGCAGTGCCAACAATGTACTGCCACTCCTATTGCTCAAGCACTTTGTGTGAAAGCAACCTCGAAGTGGTGAAGCATATAACACTTTTACTGTTGCCATACCTCAGTCTGACCTTCGGTGGCTGGAGCACGTACGGACACGGGCGCTCCAGCTATCTGCTGAGCGTAGTGCCAAGAGTGCAATGCCATGTACATTTGCCTTTGTGTACGCTATGACTTGTGGTATACTGCCTTCCACTACTCAAGTTAGTGCCCACCTCGTTCACCGCGAGGGACCACCCCCTTCTTGGTCTGGCCAGCCAAGGCCTTGCACGATTACTGCCGCATCCATAACTGGGATCAATTCATTGCCCATATGATATGTGCATATCAGCGCGGCCCTTTCCGTACAACGGCAGGTCCAAGTAACCATATCTGTACTTTACTAGTGTGGATAGCATTTCATCGTACGTATCCTGGAATATCTACGCACCCAGAAGGGATCTACTTATATTATAGCTAGCAACCATGGCTAGCAACCAGATCAGTCTCGTACTGTTTAGTACTGATATGGCGGATACGCCGGTACTGCATGCACGTGTGCCTTGTGCCCGACCCACCATGTACCAGGCTTTCGTTACCAACAAGGGCTTGGCAGACGAGCTGAAGCAGCTGGATGCATGTCGTGCCAATCCCGTAATGGTGCAGCCAATGGTCCACACTACCAGCCTGCTCGGCTGTCGGTGGCCTTTCACGGTGTGCCTTACTTGGTACGCTTACGAGTACATTTGCATAAATGTACTTCAAGTATAAAATATATACACAACAGGCACAAGGAGGTCTTAGAGTTTGTTGCAGCTCTGAGTTCCTTACTCAATGAACTCATCATAGTGCTCCGCATCGTGTTGAGCCCTCTACCCTCGAAAAGACGCCTCTTTGTAAACAAATAATATTATACAGTTATGTATATTGTATAGAAAACTGCTTTCCTAGCGCAGAAGGAAATCAGTGAATATGTGATGTCTTTGTGTTCTCACCGTGGAGGAAGAACTTGATGACCTACATGTACATTCACCCTTGTCTTGCCGTAGACGTCCTGTGCACTCCCAAGGTCCATGACCATGTTGTGCAATAGCTGAGTAAGCCATACATATACCTGAGATCTACGGATATAAACTATGTCCAGTTCAAATGACCATCCAAGCAGCCATTGGCTCCGCATCCTGTGTCATCTCTACCATCGCTGAGCACCCGAATATGACGATTATATCACCACAGGTCCCTGCAAGCTGGAGACCCGGTACGGCCACTGACGATGTTGCCAGCCTCATGGAGCCAATGTGCTATTTGGCCATGCAGGACATGTGTCACTCGACCGGCATCAATCCGGCCATCCGGAAGTGGCTGGCGGTACACATGTCTACCGTTCGGCATGTGTTATTCACTCCGCACATGCACCAAGTGTCTGCATCGATCGTCTGCATTTTCCGGACATGGGTGGTGAAGGTAGTGATGTGCATTGCCACCTGCCTCATTATTGTGTGCGGTCTGGTTGCGGCACACCATAGTGCAAGCAACGATCCGCCTCCTGGAGCATCTCGAGCTCCAAGTGAACCTACACCAGTCCGGCTTGTAGCTGGTGCAGTCCCTGGAATGTATGAGGCTCACCATCTCTACCATCACCAAGCCACTTGAGGCGCCTGACCGTGAAGCGTCCGGAATTGAGGAAGGCGTTCCCGGTAGCCCAGCTTCACAGTCGATCAATTCATTACAGAATATAGTGCTTGCAGGATAGAGCTCCACAGCCTGGGCTGTGCAACCTCGATATATGGTCTGGTGATTCAATTGACAAGTCTCCATTACTGGGTCTGTCACTTTTCAGTCGGGGATGGCCAGCCAGTCACCTCACAGGTGCCATCGCTGCACTACGAGAGCCCGTCAGTTCAGGACCCATGCACAGCAGCCACCCATAACCACATGACTCTGCAGGAGTTAAACTCCATTCATCTACTGCTTGTGGGCGGAGTGCCTTGGTCTGCAAGCCCCAGTGCATGGCATAACGGGAGTACCTTTGCATGTCGAGATTGATCATGTGATGGCTGCTTCCGTATCCAAGGAAAGAAACATTGGATAACTATGTGTCTGTTAGCGCTACCAAGAGTACATAACTATTACTATTGGCGCGACCCCGCTGGCTCCACCTAGTCGCCGTCAATGTTCGGGACATCGTCCACGACCCAAACGACCGTCACGGTCTGCAGACAGCGGCAACTGCCTGTTGGACAGGTAGGTCCTTACAAAGTTACATCATTGGTACAGCCCACTTGACCTATTTGTGGCCAGCCATACCCGCTAACTGGACCAGTATGTGAGTTAGCGCTCAGATCCTGAGGCCGAGGGCCAGGCTTCCTTGGTCCTTCCGGCAGACCAGACCAGTGGGAGAATGCACTTCTGCACCCTCCATTCTGCCTCATCCTGATGGTTAGCGCTATTCACCACATATAGCAAGTGCTCTTGGTGGGTCCGGTCTGGAGTTCATCGCAGTCGGACCAACTCCTTAGCCACCCAGTGCGGTGTAGGGAGGCAGTATAGACCAATTACCAATGCATCTTTCTCCTCTCTCGTCGACACTCCGGCTACGTGTTCAGGGCCTCTTGGAGTATTGGTCAGGCTGATGTAGCGACCACCCATTTGATGCCCGATGTCTATTACTGCTGGCCTGCCAGCACATGGAGTGTCATCAATGTTCTGGAGGTTCTGCAGGCTTGGGGACCCAATCCCAATTGCCTCGGAAACGTCTGACGCGGCACGTTCCCATGTAGATGGTTTTGACTCAGGCTCCCCATTCACCTCGGAGCTTCGCAGTCTGTCTGTATTCCACTGCCATCAACTCCCGAAGGTACGTGTTGTGTTCGCCCTTGCCTCCGTCAGCAAGACAAATGTCTAGGGTTCCAGATCTTAGACCTTCCTGGTTCCGTGGTTTGCAAGGGACAAACTTCTTTGTCCACATTCCCGGCTCGAGG